CCCTGTTTTTTCTCGTCTGGTTCGAAAACTTCTGGCAATGTCCGCACTTAGAAACACAGTGCGACTCCCCTAAACAGACGAGGCAAAGCGAATGCCCGTCGGTGGGGGATATTTTAAGGCCGCAAGTCTTACACCGTTTGAAACAACCCCACCGCGGGGCCATAGGCCAGTGGAGGGGAAACGTAAAGACAAGAAACAAACACACCGGAGAAAAATGCTAACTACAAAAATTAAAAAAAGGAAACTAACTAAACGCAAGTTTAGCAAAAAGTTTGGTACTTAACAGACCGAAGCAGAAGGCGTCCTACCAGCGCGGCGGTCAGAAAAGAACTGGCGGGATCTGCGTGCCCCTCCTTGAAAAAATGCTAACTACAAAAAACAAAATTAAAAAAAGGAAACTAACTAAACGCAAGTTTAGCAAAAAGTTTGGTACTTAACAGACCGAAGCAGAAGGCGTCCTACCAGCGCGGCGGTCAGAAAAGAACTGGCGGGATCTGCGTGCCCCTCCTTGGTCATGCGCAGTGGAGCCGGCGCGTGACCTGGGAGAGGCGCGAAAATCCCTTTTGCTAGCTACCGGTACCGAGAAGGTTCAGCGCAGGCGCAGTATATCCCAAGGGTGTGATGCACAGAGACCACGAAGAAGATTATATAGGAATCCAATCTTAATGTACAAGGCCCTTAGTGATGATGCTGAAGTGTACTTGGATTGCATGGTCCAAAACCCATATGGCTAAGCAAAAAGAATTTGATGAGAAATCAACAATGATAGCTTAAGAGACAGCCAACTTTACCTGCTTTATATGAGAAATGGTGGCATCACGTGGGACATCTAGACTTATATAGATTCCAGTGGGTAGGAGGCAGTCCACAGATATTGAGCCATCGGCTGCTATCTGTGAATCTACTGCCCAGATGTCCAGGGTATCTGCCATGGCAGGAGGCATCGTAGATTTTAAATATCATAACCACATGGTCCTAACAGGGGAAAAAATAAGATTCAACCATCTGAGAACTTGTGAGATCAGAACTGAACACTAAATACATCTAAGCCATCCCACCCATAATGCAATACAAAAACTTTATGAAATGAGAATATCTTTTTCAGGCTGTAGTTATGATTAAAGTGTCAAACACACACACATACACAAAACCCCCTAAGAACGCTATGAAATGAACAAGGACCCGAAAAAAGGAAACAACAGCCAGGGAGAGAAAAAGAGTGAAGGACATTTTCCATATTTCTTTAATTCCAGTCTACTAGACAAAAGACCCAAAAACACATACACAAAAGACTGCAACCTCAGTACAGAGCCTTGATTAAAATCTTCACAAAGGAGAGACTGTAAGACTATGAAATTAAGAATAAATGAAAATTTTAGAAAGCAAAGTATTTTGCTCACAAGAATAGACTTTAAAGGAAAAAGGAAATCATAAAACTGAGGATGAATAAAACATTTAAACTAAGAAAGGAACAGAATGAACTGGAGAAATAGTAAACAGTAATCCTAGAAGGGCATATGCAAGCAATGTTGTGAAGTGTATGTCAGTCTACAAATGGGGAGAAACTGGCTCAAAATTCCATTCTGCCATGAACTTTAGCTGGTGAACTTGAGCCAAGCACTCAGCCTAACTGTCTCACAGGGTTACTGTGAGGATAATGAGGGAGGTAAGAGCTATGCATGATGCTCTAAGCTTCACAGAGAAAGAGCAGGAAAAAATCATGTGATTAATTAAATATCACAATTGAGTGAATAGTTTAAATTAGATGTTTCAACATTTATAGACCCAGGACCCTCTTTAAACCCAGTCTGCTGGCTTCATTTCCACCACACCCCTCCTGGACGTTAATTTATCTGCTTCTCGCTCCCCACTCATTTTCTCCATATGCCTACAATTTTTCTGTATTACTTGCTTTCCCTTTCTATAATTAAAAATAAAACAAAGGGTGGTTGTTCCTCTGGTGCAATCCAACTTTAGTTGGCCAATGAGCCAACTTTGATTCTCAACCCAGCAGTTGAAGATCATTGACAATAACAACAGTTATTCTAAAGCCATACTGCAATATAGACTTCCCTTATAGGTTATAACCACCCACATTTATCCTTTATGAATGCAAGTAATTTAATAAAATGTACTAGATCCTTGTTTTTAGCATGTCGGACTAGGACCTGAGAGAATTAGGTTCAAATCTCCACTGTGCCATGGAAGCTTGTGGGATGGCAAGTCCCAGACTCTCAGCCTAACCTATCTCACAGGGTTGTTGTGAGAATAAAATGGAGGACAAGAGAATAGAATCATCAAGTTGGAAGGGGCCATACAGAACATCAAGTCCAACCCCCTGCCCAATGCAGGACCAGCCTAAAGCATCTCTGACAAATATTTGTCCAGCCTCTTCTTGAAAGTTGTCATGAAGGGGAGCGAACCACCTCTCTAGGCAGCTGATTCCACCTTTGAACTACTCTGACCATGAAAAAGTTTTTCCTAATATCCAGCCAATACCTTTCGGCATGTAATTTAAACCCGTTGCTTCGGGTCCTATCCTCTGCTGCCAACTGGAACAGCTCCTTGTCCTCCTCCAAATGACAGCCTTTCAGATATTTAAAGAGAGCAATCATGTCCCCCCTCAATCTCCTCTTCTCTAAACTAAACATTCCCAAGGCCCTTAGCCTTTCCTCGTAGGGCTGTCTCCAGACCACTGATCATCCTCTTCACTCTCTTCTGCACCCTCTTGATTTTGTCCACATCTTTTTTGAAGGGAGGCCTCCAGAACTGCACAGCGTACTCAAGGTGCGGCCTGACCAAGGCAGTATACAGAGGGGCTATGACCTCCTGTGATTTCGATGTTATGGCCCTTTTAATACAACCCAAGACTGAATTTGCCTTTTTTACAACCGCATCACACTGACTGCTCATATTTAGTTTACAGTCCACTCTTACCCGACTCTTACCTCTTTCGCATACAGTACTCCCCAGAAATGTTTTTTTTGTGTGTGGCCCAGATGTAATACTCTGCATTTGAAACCCATTTGAAACCCATTCATGTTAACACAGATAACATTTTGCTACATTGCAAACAATGTTGTAGTAAAATCTCTGAAGCCGCATGGAGAGAGCTAACATGAACATGCATGCCACATGGACTCTTATCCATGCTGTGCTATTTTTAAGTGGTTACCATGAATGTACAAATTGTACAGATGCCTACAAGTATGCTCATCTTTCTAAATGACACTTGATGTCCATTTCAGTTCTGTTATTTTAGGATTTTTTTAAAAAAAATTAAGGTCTTTCTGACATTAGATGCGTACTGAAGAAACAGAGACTGAACTGAACCCCACTAGTTCAAATGGAGAAGACTGGTGGGATTTTTATAAGTGGCACAGTTCCAAGGAAGAGTCTCCTCTGTGGATATGCCTTTCTACAATTTTAATTCATTGTAAATCATGCAGCCAACTGTACAGAAAGTTGCCAGGAGAATGCATTCCAAGCGAATGCCAATTTGCAAAGCCAAAGTTTGGAGACCCTTTCAAGAAGCAAATAAAATGAACATACACATTGGTTAGCAGAAGATCATTTAGTGTTCATCAATGAAACCGATTAGCTTCTTTCAGAAATGACATCCAGTCCTCATTCTTCCTGCCACTTGCTGATGGTGTAAAGGTCAGTGAAATGCAAGTATTAATACAGAATAACAGCACTTGTCACAGCCATGAGGCTCCTATGAGAATGAATCACAGGCCAAACTGTATAAACGCAAGGCAATGCTGGTGAGTGACTAACCAACACCCCCACATCCAGCAACTGAAACTGTGCCAAGCAGCCATCTGTATGGCAAACAGCAACATGAGTGGAATCTTAAACAGCTCTTTTAAAAAACTTTTGCTGGGGGCTATTTCAAGCAACTAAGCTCATATCTATTTATACCTACCCTCACAGTAAAAATAACTTCCTATATAAAAAAGGAGGAAGTAAATAAAGCACTCACAACCAGCATTCCCAGCATCCCAGTAAAAGACTAATACAATTGCAGTATTTCCTAACAAGAAAACTTTTTGAAAATAGGTGGGGTATCTGCAAGATCCAAAAAGATTAATGTACCAGAATTTTAAAAAGTAAAAATTGAGCATGTATTCGTAACCATTATTACCTTAACTGGATAGTCTGCAAGAGGTATTTAAAAAAAAAATGATGGTGGAGGAAGAGCTAAGAAGGAAAACCCCTCTTTCCATTGTGGAAGATCACAGAACATGGTTATAGGAGAAGCTGAATCATCCCCTTTCCCCAAAGACCACCTTATGGTGCTCCTCAGTTTTCAGTTTCGTTCCGAAGTATGTATACACACCCATTAAACACCATCATCCATAAGGGAATAGGTGATCCTGAAGATATGTTAGTCCCAATCCCAAGTGCGTATCTGCTTGGTACACATAAGACAACACTTTTGAAGTGTGGTTCTTGCTTTGTTTTGGCATCTTCTTTGAGTACACGAATATACCAGTAAGACCCATCTCCCATTTTAATGAAAGTAGATGCAGCATTTTACTATTTTAGACAAAAAATACAGCTTCCCCCCCCTCCTCACAAACTACCCACTATACCTACCAAACTGTACATCTCAAATACAACACTTTTTCTGTGTGACTCCCGTGTGAAGAAAATCTAGCCATTACTATTAGTAATCAACATATTTTGTATAAACATCATTCTTATGAAGCAAGGTATTTATTAGTCTATATTAACACCAGAGATAGGACCTGACAATCATTGGTGCCTTCCTAAGATTGTAGTCTTATGTTTATATCTCTGGAAATGAAATCCTATAGGAATTCAGGAACTATTATAACACTTAAGTATGTTCAAGCTAATCATTCTTGCTCAGAGCCCAATCAGCTGAGCTTGTTCTCCATGGGAGGGGGGGGGAAACGCTTTATACTGAACAATCATATGTTCTTGTTCTGCGGAAGGGGATATAAGTAATTGATAATATAATGGCTTAAACTGCATGGAAGTTCCTGCCTCTGTCCTGCTCATCCTTTTTATGTAGCTCTTAGTTTGCTTCTCTATTACCTTATTATGAGGCTGCCAGGAGTGGCGCTAGAGGAGGCACGGCTGGCTAGTGCCACCCCAAACAAGGAGCTTGCCACCCCAGTCCAGTAAAATCTGAAAATCTTTGGGCTAAAAAGGATACTTCTGGAAGGTATGACTACACATAAGATACTGAAGAAACAAGAAAAGGAAAATGGTTCAAAAGTATTGTATATATTCTTTTTGTGAAATGTTCTTATTCAGTTCAAATTCTGAAGGCTGCATTTCTATAAGCAAAAGGGTATGCAACTGGAAAGATCTTATACATATACAAACAAGGTCAGTATCTACTACTCATTTTGGGGGGGGGGGCATTTTCTAGGTAAACAGGTTTGCGATTGGGCTGTCAGTCTAACAGTACATAAAAAGCTAAACCCAAGCAAAAACACACTGAAATCTGTAAAAGCTTCATTAGTTTTCTACCTTAGCCAGCCTTGCAATAATTTATGAGACTCTGTAAAACTGCCATGAACTTTAACAACAACATTAATGAGCTACCGTAAATGAAGGCTTCCCCTTAGCAGGACCATGCATTAAGTAACTGCTCAATAAAAACCAATGCCCTTTTGTTCTGCATGTTAATTTCTGATATTTCATGAGTTTAGTAGAAAAACACAGAAAGGAGAGTTATTGTTAAAAATTTGTTGTGGTTGTTGACCAAGTATGACCTTCATTGTTGCACAAGTGCAAATTCCATTAATTTGAATATTCCACAGATAGGACAGGTGTCTCAGCTGAAAAAAAAGATTCTTTAAAAAGATGCAAGTGCAGCACATACAGTAAACAGAAAAATTACATTTTTAGCTTAACAGCCAGTTTAGTCATTCAGTACTCCTTTGAGGGGAGTGAGCCTTGCAGAATGGCACTTCCTTTGACTAGGCATCATTTCA